AAAAAAAATAATACTATATTTTGGAAAAGAAGTAACCTTTCCGAAATATTAAATCATATTCAATCTAGATATATGAATTCAACAATGAATAGTTCATTATTAACAACACCACCATGTTCAATGGAACTTCGTTTTTATACATCAGATTATTTATTTTTTAAATTACTTAATGCGACATATTTACGTTTGCTTGTTGGTCCAGGTATATTACTTAATACACTTTGTCTATTTGTTCTTTCACGTCCAAGATTATCAGATAAATCAACAACTGTTATCTTTTTACGATTTCTTGCAATTTTTGATATATTGGCCATTACACTTAAATATATTCGAGCTGAACTTAATTATCAATCAATAGTAAAAAAGAAAGATATTATTATAATAACATCTGTATTTTGTAAAACACTTTATGTAAGTATGAATGCATCCACCTCAATTGCTATGTGGACTATCGTTTTAATGAGCTTGTAAGTAATTCAAACAGACAATAGAAATTCATAATATATTACTTGTTTTAGAGATAAAGTTGTGGCTGTCAGTTATCCACTCAAAGCTGGTATATGGATAACACAAAAACGAGCATTTTATGTATGTTGTTTTACAAGTCTTTTACTTTTCATTGCCAATTTACATTTTATTACATTATCGGATGTATGTTCAGCAAAGAATAAGCAAAAATATTGTGGATTAATAAAAGTTGATTTAATAATTGATATTCTAACAGCTTCTATCTTACCTATTGGTAAGTATTATTGATTATACTTAGGGCAATCAAAAACTAGTGGCGACTGCATCTTAATTTTGTATAAAAGGCTTGAGAAAACTTTCTCTCTATATAGTTTGATACTAATATCATAATGATAAAATTTTGATAAGAAATATTTTTGCTAGCATTAGATCATAATGGATGTGGCACTTTTGCATTTCATTTTATCATCAGTTATAATACATTGTATTAAAAAAAAACAAAATATACCACAAAATGCAGCGTGAAAAGCTCTACAATTTATAAAGGGTCGTTTATTTTATAGTTGTACTTTTTGTTTTCAAAATGGATAAACCTCTAAGCTACGAAATTTCGACGTTGTGAAAATGAGATTGTTTTTTGGTAAAACACGAATTTAGTTTTTTTTCTATCTCATCTTTTTATAATTGTTCTTCGTAAATTGTAGAGCTTTTCACGCTGTATTTCGTGATATATTTTGTTTTTTTTAATACAACGTATTATAACTGATGATAAAATGAAATCCAAAAGTGCCACATCCATTATGATCTAATGCTACCAGCTAATTTTCAACAAAAATATTTCTTATCAAAATTTTATCATTATGATATTAGTTGATGTATGATATAGAGAGAAAGTTTTCTTAAGTTTTCTATATAAAATTAAGATGCGACCGCCACTACTTTTGGATTGTTCTAAGTATATCACTAAACATTATTAAGATTATAAATTTTTGAATCTATTGATGATACTCTACATAGTTATTATGGTGTTCTTCGAAATCAACATACGAATTAAATTGAAATGAGTGTTTCTGTTGTTTTCTTTTATAATATTTTATATCAGTTCTTTTATTCCAGTATGATGAATTAGCATTACTAGAAGTTTTTGAAATATTACACTAAATAAAACATGTCATAAGGTACAACGTTCTAATGATTTCGATTGTATTTTTTGTCTAGATTGAATCGATCTATTTTTCTTGATATACATAGAACATCATATACTAACTATAAGAAATCTTAAATTGAATGAAATCATTTTTACATCATTGATACAATCTGATTATATCATTTAAACACTTTATACATAAATAATAGAACATACTTTCATTATATATCTATTACAAACATTTTTCGTTATTTTCTCAAACAACATGAGATTGTAGCCTTTACTTATACTATATTAGAAATGAACAAATACTTATTTTACTTTTTAACAGTTGTATTAATACGTATTTCCAATATTAGGATTAAGGTGTTAATTATTTGAGTATTATGTTATGAATGTTTCCATTAGTACTTTTTTAATGCCTTTTCTGCTTGGTGAGTTCAAACAGGACTACATTCATGTATAATACTATAGGAGGGAAACATAAGAAAATCTACAAGAACAAACTTCAATTAATTACAAAATATTTCTCTGATAATATACATACAGGGTGTCCCAAAAATTATGATCACTTAACAAATACATATAACTCCATTATTAATCAAGTTTTATCTAATAACCTTTTTTTTATTTGAAAGAGAAGACTAATAAGTTTTTATTCATAAAGAAAAAGTAGATAAATATT